TCCATTTGTATCCCGAAATGTTTTCTCTGTTTTGGCAGACACTGGACCCCATCCTGTGAGGAGTTCACGACAATGCCCGCCTGGAAACAGAGGATCCAGGAACTGAGACTCTGTCATAAGTGTCTGGGTAACCACTCAGGAAGTGAATATTTCATTTAACTTTGAATGGATTCCTTGTTTTTCGGGGATAGCGCACGGAAGTTTGCCACATCCATGTACCGGAGATCCCTTCTACTGCCTCAACACTCTGTCCACTGTATTTAAGGCAAGCAAAAATTTGTGTATACAATAATTTCACAAAAATCATTTTGAACCTAACTAAAAAAATATATTTCACTGTGTTTATTATTAAATTACTGTAAAATTATCTAAAATATATTTAGATGGATTAGGATAAATTAAATTGCGCTCGTTATAATTATTTTAGATAAGTTTTCTAAGGTTCTTTTGGTACAAAATTATTAATTTTTACTTTGACACAAATGAAAAAAGTATATTTTTAGACGTATAGGAGAAAATTTTAGAAAGAACTTAATTTTAAATTAGTGCTTGCTAAACCTATCTAGGTAAAATTGGTCAATTAGCAAGAACTCATTTAAAATTAAGTTCTTTCTAAAATTTTCTCTTATACTCTTAAAGACATTTAAAAATTAAATGAGTTATTTCATTCAAATGCAACAGTAAAATTTATGGAATGAGCTTGAGTATTTAATTCAGCAAGGAAATACAGTAGTAGACTGTTATATTACAGGGATTAATTTGCCACGTTTTAGTTAATACACTACTGAAAAACTGCGGCACAATTTCATACAACACTTCGTAAAATTAACTTAACACTGTTCCGTTTTCCGGGCGCGGAAAATTTTTTCCCAGCTCAAGTGCCGTCTTGTTGTGGGTCAGTGAGTGAGACAACCCACCATCCCCTCCCTCCCCCAACACTCCTACACCCCCATCCCAGCCTTCGTGAATACGTGTCCAGTTCCACTCTATCTTATGACAGAATTGTGTTTTGATCTTTTAATTGCCATATATTGTAGCTGCCAAACAATCATAGCACCCAGTAAACATACGAGTGTTGCTGAAAGTGGCAAGAAAAGGTATGAGCAGTTAAGTCTTAGAATTAATGAAGAAAATAGATGTTAGACAAGAGATAGCCTTAATGAAGTGTCAGCTTATACAATTAATATATGAGTTGTGTGATGAATAACTACTTGACAGACTTACTTGAGTGACTTACTGACTGACTAACTTGACTGACTTACTGACTTGAGTGACTTACTTACCTGACTGATTTGACTGACCTATTTGACTGACTTACTTGACTGACCTACTTTCTGTTGCATTTGTTGTCTTAAGCAGTAAAAACAACGTAATGCATCACGACAGTCAACAACAATTATATATTCACTTTTATTTTTGTAAGATCTGGAGGTCTAAACAAGGTTGTTAGGCTTTTTGGGGGCTCCTAGGAACGTAACCCTATTTTACCCATAAGCTCTTCAGTTTATCTGACACGGATTTACCTAACACGGTCAGTACACATAACAACCACTACAATCATCAGGAAAAACATCCCTCACACTGCACGGATCTTGAATAAACCTCTCTCACACTGAATGGATCTGGAAGAAGCCTCTCTCACACTGCATTGTTCTTCAAGAAACCTCTCTCACACTGCATGGATTTTGAAGAAACCTCTCTCACACTTCATGGATCTTGAAGAAACCTCTCTCACACTCACACTGCACGGATCTTCAAGAAAGCTCTTTTACACTGCATTGATCTTCAAGAAACCTCTCTCACACTGCATTGATCTTCAAGAAACCTCTCTCACACTGCATTGATCTTCAAGAAACCTCTCTCACACTGCATTGATCTTCAAGAAACCTCTCTCACACTGCATTGATCTTCAAGAAACCTCTCTCACACTGCACGGATCTTGAAGAAACCTCTCTCACACTGCACGGATCTTGAAAAAACCTCTCTCACACTGCACGGATCTTGAAGAAACCTCTCTCACACTGCACGGATCTTGAAGAAACCTCTCTCACACTGCACGGATCTTGAAGAAACCTCTCTTGCACTGCACAGATCTTGAAGAAACCTCTCTCACACTGCACGGATCTTGAAGAAACCTCTCTCACACTGCACGGATCTTGAAGAAACCTCTCTCGCACTGCACGGATCTTGAAGAAACCTCTCTCACACTGCACGGATCTTGAAGAAACCTCTCTCGCACTGCACAGATCTTGAAGAAACCTCTCTCACACTGCACGGATCTTGAAGAAACCTCTCTCACACTGCACTGATCTTGAAGAAACCTCTCTCACACTGCACGGATCTTGAAGAAACCTCTCTCACACTGCACGGATCTTGAAGAAACCTCTCTTGCACTGCACGGATCTTGAAGAAACCTCTCTCACACTGCACGGATCTTGAAGAAACCTCTCTCACACTGCACGGGTCTTGAAGAAACCTCTCTCACACTGCACAGATCTTGAAGAAGCCTCTCTCACACTGCACGGATCTTGAAGAAACCTCTCTCACACTGCACGGATCTTGAAGAAACCTCTCTCACACTGCACAGATCTTGAAGAAACCTCTCTCACACTGAACTGATCTTGAAGAAACCTCTCTCACACTGTACAGATCTTGAAGAAGCCTCTCTCACACTGCACAGATCTTGAAGAAGCCTCTCTCACACTGCACAGATCTTGAAGAAGCCTCTCTCACACTGCACGGATCTTGAAGAAACCTCTCTCACACTGCACGGATCTTGAAGAAACCTCTCTCAAACTGCACGGATCTTGAAGAAACCTCTCTCACACTGCACAGATCTTGAAGAAACCTCTCTCACACTGCACAGATCTTGAAGAAACCTATCTCACACTGTACAGATCTTGAAGAAACCTCTCTCACACTGCAGAGATCTTGAAGAAACCTCTCTCACACTGTACAGATCTTGAAGAAACCTCTCTCACACTGCACGGATCTTGAAGAAACCTCTCTCACACTGTACAGATCTTGAAGAAACCTCTCTCACACTGAACTGATCTTGAAGAAACCTCTCTCACACTGCACAGATCTTGAAGAAACCTCTCTCACACTGCACAGATCTTGAAGAAACCTCTCTCACACTGCACAGATCTTGAAGAAACCTCTCTCACACTGCACGGATCTTGAAGAAACCTCTCTCACATTGCACGGATCTTGAAGAAACCTCTCTCACACTGCACAGATCTTGAAGAAACCTCTCTCACACTGCACAGATCTTGAAGGAACCTCTCTCACACTGTACGGATCTTGAAGAAACCTCTCTCACACTGCACAGATCTTGAAGAAACCTCTCTCACACTGCACAGATCTTGAAGAAACCTCTCTCACACTGCACGGATCTTGAAGAAACCTCTCTCACATTGCACGGATCTTGAAGAAACCTCTCTCACATTGCACGGATCTTGAAGAAACCTCTCTCACACTGCACAGATCTTGAAGAAACCTCTCTCACACTGTACGGATCTTGAAGAAACCTCTCTCACACTGCACAGATCTTGAAGAAACCTCTCTCACACTGCACAGATCTTGAAGAAACCTCTCTCACACTGCACAGATCTTGAAGAAACCTCTCTCACACTGCACGGATCTTGAAGAAACCTCTCTCACACTGCACGGATCTTGAAGAAACCTCTCTCACACTGTATGGATCTTGAAGAAACCTCTCTCATACTGCACAGATCTTGAAGAAACCTCTCTCACACTGCACAGATCTTGAAGAAACCTCTCTCACATTGCACGGATCTTGAAGAAACCTCTCTCACACTGCACGGATCTTGAAGAAACCTCTCTCACACTGCACGGATCTTGAAGAAACCTCTCTCACACTGCACGGATCTTGAAGAAACCTCTCTCACACTGCACAGATCTTGAAGAAACCTCTCTCACACTGCACGGATCTTGAAGAAACCTCTCTCACACTGTACAGATCTTGAAGAAACCTCTCTCACACTGCACGGATCTTGAAGAAACCTCTCTCACACTGCACGGATCTTGAAGAAACCTCTCTCACACTGTACAGATCTTGAAGAAACCTCTCTCACACTGCACGGATCTTGAACTCAGAACAAGTGCCTCCGTAGTGTTGATTCCAGGAGAAAGTAAACTGACAATCAAAACACTACATAACTTTAATTACCAGTCTTCACTGATGATGACAGGGAAGAGGGGAAAAGGGAGATAGTAAGTAAGTAAGTAAGTAAGTAAATTTATTCAGAACTCTAGAACTGCAGACACATTCATCACCTTCAAAACTACCATAAGAAAACATCTTATCTCCCTGATACACCCCGTCAACTAACTACACGAATACCACCTGGTGGTTCACACTTACACTCACTCACTCATTTGACCATAAACAGAAATATTAATCTCAGTCTTAAAATGAATCCTGTGATACTCCAATACTGAAACAATGTACTGTGCCAAAACAAAAGCATTCACATTGCTAAACTCACAAACTAGTATTTAGTCACTTAGCCATAATACCAACTTACCTCATAATTTGTAATATTTTACAATTAAGAATAAAACTAAGTATGCCCGAAATGCCTAGCCATGCTAAGCGTTCTAGTGGTACACTCTGTAATCACAATTTTACTACATGTAAACCACACAATAACCAAATTTCTGTAAACTCAGCATTGTAATCCTTATAGAGAATAAACTTTGAACTTTGAATACACAAATACAGTTACATAGAATTATCATACATAGCAGCATATGTGTAGAGAACCTAGGCAATAGGGATAGAAAGTTCACATTATCTTCTATGTTCGTAATTACTTGTAATTACTGAATCAAAATTAACTAAAGATTTTGTGAATATTCTGGTTGTTACTTAATAGTTTATTAAACTACAAAGTGAATGTAAGTTACCAACAAGCAATTCAGTAAACACATGATTATTATATTGTTTATATGTAATGATCTGAAGACTCACTGACCAAACTGTGTGTCTCCCCAACCAGTCAAGGTGACGTTCTGACCCACCAGTCTCCGGCTGCTCTCATTCCCCCATGGAAGACAAACTGGATTGATTGACGGCTGAAAATACATTAAGTATATTTAACAACTTATTAAAAAATATAGAGAAAATGTTCGTTGCTCTCACAGAAATTAAGTAACTATAGAAAATAATGAGCATGTTAATTAATCGAGACAAAATAACATTCTTCTCTTGTCAACGTTATTTTTCATACTTTTGAGTCATGGTAATAAAGCAACGTTTGTCTGGAAAGATGCATTACATGAGATAATTAAACTCAATTAGAACCAGCAGTTACTTTTGTCTCTAATAATAGGATATTTCCTCGCAATGTTACCAAGATAAGATAAGATTTCGTTCGGATTTTTAACCCCGGAGGGTTAGCCACCCAGGATAACCCAAGAAAGTCAGTGCGTCATCGAGGACTGTCTAACTTATTTCCATTGTGGTCCTTAATCTTGTCCCCCAGGATGCCACCCACACCAGTCGACTTACACCCAGGTAACTACTTGCTGCTACGTGAACAGGACAACAGGTGTAAGGAAACACGGCGAAATGTTGCTATCCCGCAGAGAATCGAACCCGGGCCCTCCGTGTGTGAAGCGAGAGCTTTGCCAGCCTGGCCACGGGGCCACACAACACTTGAGTCTGTTATTTCTCGCTATGATTCTATGGACTTTCTTTTGCTTGTTTGTTATTTGACACAACTAATGAACTATGATATTCCACAATTTAACGGGAGTTAAATTGTGGAGTTACCTGGAGTTTACCTGGAGAGAGTTCCGGGGGTCAACGCCCCCGCGGCCCGGTCTGTGACCAGGTCTCCTGGTTGATCAGAGCCTGATCAACCAGGCTGTTACTGCTGGCTGCACGGAAACCAACGTACGAGCCACAGCCTGGCTGGTCAGGTACCGACTTTAGGTGCTTGTCCAGTGCCAGCTTGAAGACTGCCAGGGGTCTGTTGGTAATCCCCCTTATGTATGCTGGGAGGCAGTTGAACAGTCTCGGGCCCCTGACACTTATTGTATGGTCTCTTAACGTGCTAGTGACACCCCTGCTTTTCATTGGGGGGATGGTGCATCGTCTGCCAAGTCTTTTGCTATCGTAGTGAGTGATTTTCGTGTGGAAGTTCGGTACTAGTCCCTCTAGGATTTTCCAGGTGTATATAATCATGTATCTCTCCCTCCTGCATTCCAGGGAATACATGTTCAGGAACCTCAAGCGCTCCCAGTAATTGAGGTGTTTTATCTCCGTTATGCGCGCCGTGAAGGTTCTCTGTACATTTTCTAGGTCAGCAATTTCACCTGCCTTGAAAGGTGTTTAATCGAGATTTTTTTTTAAAAAGGAAATTTCAGAATGAATATGTTATATAGCAATGTTATATTTAAAGACATGAAAATATGTTTATCAGTGTGTATACCTGCAGGGAATATTTTTTCTTGTAGCAGGAGAGTCGTCACAACCACTCCCATAACACTACATCGTTGTTCCACATCTCAGGACATTTGTCACTTTATCTAACTGACAAACTACCACCACCATGAGGTCTTACCCCATCATATGGCTTTCACTTAAGCAAATTAAATCTCCTTGTGCTAGAGTCCCTCATAACACAGACACATACATTATTATATATTTATATATATATATATATATATATATATATAATATTTTTATATATTATATTATATTTATATATATATATTATATATATATATTTATATTTTATTATATATTATATGATGGGGTCCACTCTGGTGTAAATTGTGGGACCCATAGCCTCGAAGAAGTGGATAAAAAGGCTTCAAGGAAGAATATTTGGATTTCTTCCTGAAGCCGTTTGAATATTCCACTTCCCCTACCACCCCATCTTTTAATATATTTTTTTTACCAATAGGAATATTTTATTACATAATATGGTATAGAAGATTTAAAAGATACATTGTTAATATAAAGGTGGCATATACGGTACATGTTGTTACGTGTGTATCATCGATTATAAAGCGAAAATCTCATCCAGCTCCTCAGAGCTGGGGCGTGTGCCCAAAATGCAGCATGCATTACCCCTTTGAACAGCCGCACTGAGCCGCTGGAACAGAAAACTAGCTGCCCTGGGATCCCTAGTTACCCTGATGAGTCTTTTTCCCAGCTCCTTAAGGAATTTAGATGCACTCTTTTCCCATGAGCCAAGGGTCTCTGAGCCTATGGGAACAAACATATAATGATGGGCAAGTTCTCCTATTTTCTAGACTTTTGGGACTCCCTGAAGCTGGCAGCTGTCCCTCCTTCCTCCCTGGTGTATTGGAGATAGGTATCAGCCAAGGTAGATGCACATGTATAGTCCCACACCACCTGCTTCCCATCTGTCCAGGCTTGAAGGGTGATACCATCTGGAAGCTTCTGGCTGCCATCAGATCTGCATAGTTGGGGTGGCTCCCTTAATGCTGGGCATCCGGCTGTTGTGAAGCTCCTCTTGATAATGTTATTAACCTCCTCATGTCTTGCAATCTTTCCCTCGAATTTACGGCACACAAGACCATGGTACCCGAATCGGTCTGCTGCTTCACTGCCACAAATACACCTGTGTTCGGCGAGAATAGGGGCGGCAAGTCGAAGGGCAACACCGATGCGGATGGTCTGTGGGTCGAGGCGTGTGCCAAGGCTGAAGTTGGGAACAGCCAACAGAAAGTCCCCAGCATGAGGGGCTCTCACTGCCAGGAGGCGGGCTCTATCCTTCCCTGACACACTCTGAAGCATTGTTGAGACAATATTTTCCACTATTGGACCATCCCAGTGCGATTGTTTTGTAGTTGTTGGGGGGAGCAGGTCTGGTTTCAGAGCCCGTTAGATTATCCCAGATCATTGCTCCGTCAATGAATTTTTGGTCCTGGACTCCAATCTTGTCCTAAGATGTTCAGGGGAATCGCTGCTACAAGCTCTCTGGATGCAATACACGAGGACAGAAAAGCAGGTAACGCAATCTGTGACGACTTGCGGACACAAGTACCTCCTAGTCTGACTGGAAGTGTAGCTTGGTTCCACTGCCCGTCTTCTAGAGTAAGGTTAAGTACTTTCGTAAAAATCTGCCTCAGAATACTGTCATATTCGTTTCAGTATAGGGTTTATCATATGAAGGTACACATCTTAGGAAATATATTATATATATATATATATTATATATTATATATATATTATATATATATATATTTTATATATATTATTTCCCAGTAAAAGTAGGCCTTAGACAAGGATGTGTGATGTCACCGTGGTTGTTTAATATATTTATAGATGGGGTTGTAAGAGAAGTAAATGCGAGGGTCTTGGCAAGAGGCGTTTGGGGTTAAAGATAAAGAATCACACATAAAGTGGGAGTTGTTACAGCTGCTCTTTGCTGATGACACTGTGCTCATGGGAGATTCTGAAGAGAAGTTGCAGAGATTGGTGGATGAATTTGGTAGGGTGTGCAAAAGAAGAAATTAAAGGTGAATTACAGGAAAGAGTAAGGTTATGAGGATAAAAAAAAGATTAGGTGATGAAAGATTGAATATCAGATTGGAGGGAGAGAGTATGGAGGAGGTGAATGTATTCAGATATTTGGAGTGGACGTGTCAGCAGATGGGTCTATGAAAGATGAGGTGAATCATAGAATTGATGAGGGAAAAAGAGTGAGTGGTGCACTTAGGAGTCTGTGGAGACAAAGAACTTTGTCCTTGGAGGCAAAGAGGGGAATGTATGAGAGTATAGTTTTACCAACGCTCTTATATGGGTGTGAAGCATGGGTGATGAATGTTGCAGCGAGGAGAAGGCTGGAGGCAGTGGAGATGTCATGTCTGAGGGCAATGTGTGGTGTGAATATAATGCAGAGAATTCGTAGTTTTGGAAGTTAGGGAGGAGGTGCGGGATTACCAAACTGTTGTCCAGAGGGCTGAGGAAGGGTTGTTGAGGTGGTTCGGACATGTAGAGGGGAATGGAGCAAAAACAGAATGACTTCAAGAGTGTATCAGTCTGTAGTGGAAGGAAGGCGGGGTAGGGGTGGCCTAGGAAAGGTTGGAGAGAGGGGGTAAAGGAGGTTTTTGTGTGCGAGGGCTTGGACTTCCGGGCAGGTAGCATGAGCGTGTTTGTTTGGAGTGAATGGAGACAAATGGTTTTTATACTTGACGTGCTGTTGGAGTGTGAGCAAAGTAACATTTATGAAGGGGTTCAGGGAAACCGGCAGGCCGGACTTGAGTCCTGGAGATGGGAAGTACAGTGCATGCACTCTGAAGGAGGGGTGTTAATGTTGCAGTTTAAAAACTGTAGTGTAAAGCACCCTTCTGGCAAGACAGTGATGGAGTGAATGATGGTGAAAGTTTTTCTTTTTCGGGCCACCCTGCCTTGGTGGGAATCGGGCAGTGTGATAATAAAATAAAAATATATGTCGTGCCGAATATGTAAAACTGGTCAATTAGCAAGAACTCATTTAAAATTAAGTCCTTTCTGAAATTTTCTCTTATACGTTTAAAGATATATTTTTTTCATTAATGTTAATGTAAAAATTTTTAATTTTGCATCAAAAGAATCTTAGAAAACTTACCTAACCTTATTATAACACGAGCAATTTATTTTAGCCTAACCCAACTAAATATATCTTAAATACGTTTACAATAATTTAGTACTAAACAAACAATCAAATATATTTTTTTCGTTAGGTTCAGAATGATTTTGGCGAAATTATTGCCCTACACAAATTTTTTACTTATCCTATATGGCAAAAATGAGCGTTGCTTTAAGCCAAGATGGGAAGTTCTGCCTATTCGGCACGACATTTTATATATATATTAAAATTTAATATTTTATATATATATTTTTTTTTTTTTTTTTTATTTTTTTATCACACCGGCCGATTCCCACCAAGGCAGGGTGGCCCGAAAAAGAAAACTTTCACCATCATTACTCCATCACTGTCTTGCCAGAAGGGTGCTTTACATACAGTTTTTAAACTGCAACATTTTAAAACCCCTCCTTCAGAGTGCAGGCATGTACTTCCCATCTCCAGGACTCAAGTCCGGCCTGCCGGTTT